TTTAAGACAAGCGTGAAGCCCCTGTTTTTCTATTTCCAAACATCACTTGGCCTGGGAAAAATTGTCAATTACATCAGTTTCTCGCAACTAATGTTCAGTCGCTATACAGTTTACTTGACAAATACTAAAAAAAGGTTATATAATTGGGTTTTCGATCTCTCCTTCCCCTGTGATAACTCTGAAAAGGTGCGAGAAAAATTGAGCCTGAATTTTCCATAGCTTTTCATGAATGATTATTTAATTTTTTAGATGTTTAACTGTAAATACAGTAGTCGTACAGGAGATATAAAATACGATAGCGGCAAAGTGTTATCCTAGTACGAAGTGGAGATTAAGCGTCTAGAGTGACTATGTGCTCGAAGGTTGATCGACGTTTTCTGAAGCCAAGTTATATGTGTGTTACCATGTTCATTTATTACAGGAGTCACAGTGATTGATTGTTTTCGACAATTCCACCGCTACGGTCATTAGTCCCGTTCTTGTAGTGAATTTGTTATGTCGGGGGATGGCGGCGAGTTTTTCCCCGCAGGACATGGTGACAATCGACGGCGATCTGCATGTCGGTTGATTAATTGATTAGTGATTACGGGCGCGACACCTGCTAACGTCATTAGTCCCGTAAGTTTAGTGCATGTTTTATCGCGGGATGGGTGACAGTTGTCTTCTCCCGCTGATCTCGAGATGCAGGCCGGCCTACCGTCGACCACCGAGGTCCTCAACTAGGTAATGTGACCAGAGTTCCCATTATTCTTTTAATGGGGACAGTAAATACACAGGTGAGTTGACAACCACACATTAATTTTATCTGCTGTTAAAATAATGAATAAATAATGTAGACAAGGAATCATCTTGGTGGTATCAACCTTACTGATCATATGCATTGATTCAATAATAAAAAAAATCTCTAAGAACAAAAAATATCATGTTAATTTTCAATGTCTCTTAATACTATTATACACTCATTATTTCAGACATGGATGTCTAATAAAATTCTAAATTTCTTTTTTGTCGCGCAGTATTACATAACTTGCTGTATACTTCGTATATTACTATGTATCTACGTATGTATACGGTAAAATAAGAACTGAGCTTACCAAAATTGTAATTAAGTAAAGTCGTAAATTAGGAAGACATATTAAATTAAATAAATTAGGAAGTAATAAAAGAAAAAGGGGAGTATGTCAATATCCAGCTAGTATCAAATATTCGCGACAACCGGGACTCTAACCCAAGGATATCGACAGACTTCGTGAGATCAGAACCGGTCAGGGTCACCACAGAGACAGAGGAAATGCTGACTTCGAGCTAACCTCAGCGGGACCTGGAATCCAGTCCAGACGAGTGTTAGTAGCTTACAGACGCAGCTGGTGACGGAGGTTGAACGGTAACTTTCATTTTGTTATTTAAGGTCTCATCAACATCTTGGTCAATAGCGTCCACTATTGCATTTAACGGTACGTTAACGGTGCAGATGACATGATATGGTGATGATAGGGGGTGACAGGATGAACATAAATGCAACCAAGCCTGACGCAGGACACGAACCCACGATTCTTCGGTCCGAGATCGCTATGACACTACTCTAACGATCTCGGCCATCCGGACCGACTAACAGGAACTTGGAATAGGACTGTTTAATACTTTAATGGTCCTACGTAATGTTAATGGCATTTTGCCAATCTTTCGGGATGACACAATCAATCAAAATTAGAGTGAAAGAGCTGAGGGAAAAGTGCATGCTTTTTCAGAAATGTACTCGTATATGATGTGCTGCTATAGGATTATCATTTATCATAAGCATATATAATTTATTTCAGGTCCACGAGCATAATATTTTGCAAGAACGAGGGTTGTATAATATTCTTTCGTAGACACAAGGGTGTATTGGCGTATTGTTCCACCCCACTGGAATTATCCAACGCTTAGATCTCAAATTTTTTTCTTAGTATTAAGAAAGTTTATGGAGAATCGTGTTAGTATTAGCAGAAGTGAGTCTAAATGTGTAAATGATAAAAAATGAATAAAATGTGAATTACAGTAACATTTGTTTACAGGGTGAAACAAATTGAGGATGATTGTCTTTTGTTTCACAACTGCAAACAGTGGATGGATAAACTCGGGTTGCAACAGCAGTTCCTCGAAAACTTTAGATACTGTTGAGAGCGCGTCACAAAAAAATTGGTAATTATGATTTAATCGATTAAACGTTTACCTGCAAACCATCATAAAATGGGGGATAACCACTGATATTAAAACTTGATTATAAGACGTTATTGCAGTATAGGATATCTGAAATTTAATATTAAAATCTATTGTACACTTGTATTAACTATCGAAAATACATTTATATATTAAAGTTTTATAGTATAAGGTACGAGTACCGCAACCAGTATAAGAAAGACACAGTTATCAGCACTGCAGTGCTGTACAAACGAGCAGAAATAACTCGTAAAACGATTACACATTTTGACTTTTTGTGGCGAATTTTCACATAATTACATGTTGGAAAATGAGATACTACGTACATTAATTTTAACAATGTCCGATGTGGCACTCTGCACTCAAAGTATTCAAATAAAAAAAATACATTTTTTCATGGTACATCTGACCACTTCGTTTAAATTTAAAAATGTTTCATTGAAATCATTGTGAGAATTGTGCAGAATTACATGAAATTTACGAAAGAAGAAATTAAATGCTCATTACTGGATTTCCAATTGTATAACATTGATTGAAAGTGTATTCAATATAGACAGCATGGATATTCCGTCGCGTCTCTTAAAGTGGAATTTATATAAGCTTTGAAATATTTAATGGTGTACTCCGTATATTTACTCGTAATTTTAATAATTTTGTGTGCAAAACAGGATATAAAATATTTCTTTCGAAAACATCTGATTTTTGTTTATCGAAATTGAACTCTTTTAATAGTTGTTTCCTAATGATTTTCAATTCGATATAATACTTATGTTGCACCATTACATAAGAAAATCCTTCTTCAAAGAACTATTTTTAAACTCTAAATAGGGGACAAGAATTTGGAAAAATGATAGAAACTAAAAATAAATTGTTTTTGTTCGTCTTTAAGTTGTTAGGCACTTAAACGTAACATTTCTTTTGAAATTTCTTAATATGTGCTTTATGTGTACACACTACTGGAATAAAGAAATAAAAATTGTAATTAATAACGTAAATGCTGGAAATAGTATACTTTCTTTCCTATTTGCTACCTGAAGACTGAGATACATACTTTCCACAAACAAATGATTTGTGATCCAAATAAAAAGTAAAGTTAGGACAGAAGCATATTAACATTCACGAGATAAGCAAATATTTGTACTTTTGAAGCATATTAACATTCACGAGATAAGCAAATATTTGTACTTTTCAAATATACACTATTTCATTTCATAATAATTTAAAATATTTGAAATTTCTTATAATACTAAAAATTTTATCCAGGTTTCAATTCCTTGTTAAATTTCCGATTGCTTGTTCGAATCGTCTCCTCTATTATTTCACTATAGCTAACTTTTGCAGCTACAAACGCAACCGATCTTTATAAATGAGGTCTCTAAAGAAAGAGAATTTCACGGAGTCGTGACTAATTGCATTATGATGAATTTGAGTATGTATGACTAAAGTACGACGAATGTGTTTTAAAAAACGCATTTAAATATTCATGTCAAATACACCCCGCAAGACGTCGTCAGATATATCGTTAAATAACTTATAAACCACGTGTTATAGAGCCTTAAAACCAAAATTTTGAAGCTGGAGTCTTATCTATACCAATACCACATATACATGGAGGAATACGAAATATATTTTTGCACGGCCTGTATTTCACGCCTTCGTGCAGGGCGCCATCTTTGCGACGTCACGTTTAGAAGGCTTATATTCCTATATCTTATATTATTTACGCTTTCTGTGTGCACCATGATTTGTGCAGACTGACTAGGTTTATTTACATAATTATTAATTCAATATTCGCTTTCGCAAGAACAACTACAAGTACTGTTAATAGTTGTTTGATACCGACGAAGATTGATTCCTAGGCGGGTAGTGCGACATTTCGCTTAACGTTTTAAAGAACCTGCATAACACCAACAAAGTGCAGCGCTTGCACACACGATGATTCAAGAAAGCGCCGCTAGATGTGTTGAACTATTGTTCAACATGTTATTAATTCTATACTGAATGATATATAAATATGAATGTAGTTATTTCCTTTGCTGTTATTCTGAAAGTTGTTATTATCTTTACTGATATTATTATTGTAGACGAGCCGGAGCAATACCCTAACAAACGGGCTACATTTCGCTCATTTCTTCATCCAGTTGCGCTGCTAGAAAGAGCATAATTTTTTGTCACATGCTCTAATTCTGTTTCCTTATAGTATCATGCTACCAATCGAATCCAAAAACCAGTACGGTAAATATAGTTCTCAGTAAAATTTTGAAACGCAAAAACACTATTTCGGCACTCTCCGTTCTCTCATCATCCACAGAAAAAGCACTCAATTTCACTAATTTCTCTTTTGGGTCATTTATAAATGTCTGAGCGGCGGCTTTCACAATTCGCGAGATTGAAATTCAAGATTTGCTGAAGCTACTTTGTTGATCATTAAACAGTTCGTTTCACGACCGACGCAGTCATGTCGCGACGGTAAGACGAAACGTCATATTTTTTAAATCACGTGTTCTATTTTCGTCTTTTCCTTGTAGGGTCATTCTAGAAGTAGGAATGCGATTCTGAATAAGCGTTATAAGGAACTTGAAACTCAAGAACATAAGCATCACTCTCGAGATACTGCGTAATTCGGAATGCGCTGACACCTCTTCTTCAGATTTCCCAATGCCGGTGCCGCACGGTCGCGTCGGAAAGACGACACCTCCATGTCGTTCGTGGTCGGTTTGCTGGCAGGCGTCACCACGGAGCAATGGTGCGGGACGGTGAGGGTTCGGTGGTAGGGGAACAGGGTGTTAAGTCACGTGACCATGTGCTATAAAAGATGGCGCTTGCGCCAGAGGATGTCATTTGCGTTTGCTTGTTTTGTGGCGATTAATAATAATCTCTTCCCTGGATCGGACCACTGCGAAGCTTTGCAGAATCCAAGGTGAGTGACGCATCTAGCGAATTACCTTGGAACTTTCAGAAGCTTACGTTTGTAGTTTTTTTTAAAATTTGTTTGTAAACGTGAATCGTGAACATCGAAACGTGCAAAGTCAAATTTACATCGTGTGTTAAGTTCTCAGTCTATTCACTTTAGTGAATTGTTGTAACTGGTAAATAGTGAACAGTGGTGTGAAACTGACATTTGTAAAAATTTAATTTATTTAAATACGTGATTGTTTTTTTAATTCTTCAGTTTACGCAATAATACTTGCATTTGCAAGTGTATGGCATGTTGTATTACGTTTAGGAACTGCTAAATGTCCGACTGTCGTATGTACGATCTCTTTTCAGTGTTTTCTCTTACGAATATTCGACTTGTATGTTATGTGTGTATGAGAGAAAGAGAGATAGAATGTAAATTCGTAAATATTTATTGCATGTATAAGTGATGAAAGCAACTGTATCCAAAATATTAATATATGATTATTAATGTATTAATACAAGAATCGATTGTTTCAGATCCAGTCATGAATCACTATTTAAATGTGTGTCTGAAAATCACCATCTGCGTGTCTTTGTATTGCTTATTCTTAACATGTCTCATTATGGTCATCAATGCATCATATTACTCGGTAAATATCCTCAGCTTATATGCTACCTCTATCAGACTTTTCGAACAATATGTGGAAGTGAAAGAATACTCAGATGTTTCTCAAATGTTCATAATTAATGATTTGGAGAGAAATTAATGTGAAATAGAGGGACGTTTACAACATAAAATTTGCATAATCCGTTTCTTGTTTCAGACTGAGGAGGACTTTTACAAGATCAGGAACATGACTAACAAGAGGGATGGATGCAAAATTAACATCGATCAAGTCAAACCCTTGAATGTGTGCGTAGCTCTGGGCCGTTTATATGACCTAACTCTCTGCGTGCATCAAGTTAATGAAATTCTGAAGGAATTATTCATTGCCAGTGTAGACCAGGCAACTCAGGCCAATGAAGCTTCTATATAACATTGCTTCGCTGTATTTGGTGATTAAGAAGAGGTGGAGGAATACAGTAAAACGCAGATTTATAAGAGAGATAAAGAATGGATATAACAAGAGTAGGTTTTTCTTTTTGTTCAATTACTGTTTTTTTTTTAGGTTTCTGAAGTTACGAACTTCTAGTGTTATAGCCTTTTGGGATTTATCGATGGTTTCATTATGTATACATCGTTTGGGCAGTGTAAAGGAATGTGTTTGTAGGTTGCAAATTATTGGCTTTGGTACTCACATAGTTATAGGAAAACCCAATCTGAATTGTAATAGCTGTGAAATTAAGTTTGAATAGAAGTAAATGTTTTGTGTTATGATTTGTATAAAGAATTTTAAATTTAATTTGAATAGTTTATTTGAAATCAAAAAAATGCCAATTTAATTTTAAAATGTGTGTGCCTGCATTAAAACTTTTTTTTCGAAGGGGCTTGTGTTTGTATAGCTATTGTGTGAGTTGTGTGTAAGGCTTTAATAAAGTTTATATATCCAAAGCGATTTGTTTGTAACTTCCATTTTGCCAAAAGTTATCTCCTTTTCGAAATAATCGCATCAGACATTAGATTGCAGATGGCGCTTTTTATTTGAAATTTATCTACATGTGGATATATTTTCGCAGAGTTGTATATATTCTGTCACTCAGCTAATCAAATTTGCTTTAACAGTTATTTGCATTTGTAATTATATTTTTCTGAAAATGTTCTTAATCACATTACCATTGCGGAGGGACTGACGGACGGAGGGACTGACGGACGGAGGGACTGACGGACGGAGGGACTGACGGACGGAGGGACTGACGGTCAAAGGAGCTGACAATCTGATTTTAAATAAGAGATTGCATTAAAAAAATTATTTCAATATTTTAGTGGTAGAAATCGGCGGCAAAATTAAATTTGTATACATTTCGAAAAATCAGGGATTTCAAAGAAAATGTAGAACTGCTCCATTCTCTTAAGCGTCCTTTACGCAATGTGACAAAAAAAATCAAAAAGTTGGGCGCATTTCTTGAAAACGTCCCCGAAACATCATGTAAAGTACCTTGAAAATCAGTCAGATAGCCTTAGAATCAGACAGTTAGCCTTGAACGTCAGCCAAATTGATGGGGAAATACCAATTTTGATGACAATTCTGCTTGTCGCGGAACTACTAGCGTTGTTCATATACTGACTGACGGACGGACGGACGGACGTTTTGCCGTCAATCACATGTGTGGTATCAAGGACCCACAAAATATGGATTCTGACTCCACGGCGTGTTAGAGAATGTAATTTACTATACATAGGGACACGATTTATCCGCTTTTCGTAACCAAGGCCAGGCAATAAACGTTTTTCTGTAGAAAATTCGCCGTTTTTCCCTCCTCTTCTTTCCTTTATCGATATTACACTACGCACAAATAGTTGTCATGACTTATGTCCACACCCTGGTATTAAAAAAATTGTTGTACAATATTTTCAAATTGGATGTAAAATATTTTCAGCATTGAGGTGAATCAAGGGATATATTTTTAAAGTTGTTCTATACTAGCGGTGTTTTACGTAGGGTGACATCACCACGACCTTCTTTTTGAATTTTGGGATGGGACATAGATATTCACGTTTTCAGAAGATTCTTGTTTTAAACATCGACGTTAAAGAACCATTGTCTAATAAAGCGATCTATGTTTTATAGATCCATCTGTTGAAGCCAATAGTTTTTTAACGTCGATATTTTAATCTGTGTTTCTACAACTTGATTGTTTTGTTTCTGGGTGGAAAAGTCAAAGTATGTAAACACAATCTTGTATACAATATGCGAAATTTTTTTGTAAAAGTGAAAATATGTGAACAAAATATCTGATCTTATTATGAGGCTTACGCCTTTTTATGAGACTTTATTTGCTCAAATGAAGCGAATGCTGTTTTATCACGTTCACGATGCAATTTCTCGCCCGAGACACGACCTGGTATTTTATAGATCTATCCTCGTATTTTGCGTGCGCTGAGGTGGGCAACGCATACGCGATAGCCGAAGTCACTTTCTCTCTTCTCATATTTTTCTCTTGCTCTCGTATCGTTCTGCGGTGAAATGAGGAAACTCTGACCACCTGAGACAATCCCGCGCGTTCAGTTCTTTTTCTTACATTATCATATATGTTTTTATATGTTCAGCCTATTGTTCTTATAATTTGTACTTTTTGTCAATCACATACCATATATATTATAAATTAATAAATGTAACAGCAATTGTAAAATTAACTTTTTACCGCGCAAACAATAATCTTAGAAGTGTCAAAATCTGTTTCAAATATATCCATTGTTTGACGATGTTTTATTAATGTTATGGATATATGAGTATGGTCGCTAGGGGACTCGCTAGGGGACTCGCTAGGGGACTCGCTAGGGGACTCGCTAGATGCAGTGAGGCAGCCACGACGCGAGAGTCTAAAGCTGTGACGTCGCTTAAGGTACATCAAGGAACCTCAAGCGATCGAAAAGCAATCAGCGAGCTAATCTGCATAGGGGTGGCAAGCGTGTGTAGGAGAATATTCTGTTTACGACGAACATCTTTGGTACGGCTCTTATGGAATACGGTGACTGCGTTACGCACTTGTACGTCTGGTGGAAGTAACAACGTTACGAATTTGGTTATATCTTATAGTAGTTGTTAGGTCTGTGATACGATTTGTTACGTGGAGGTTATACTTATTTGATTTAGTAAACTTATTTGTTTACTCTTATGTATTTATTGGGTACAATAATTAACATCGATGTTTCGCACCAACGTTTTCTGGCGCATCTCTAGAGCTGGACGCTGATCGCGGTCGTTCCCCTTTAAAACCCTTGGCGCTGGCATATCGACGACGCGCAGGCGATGCACTAAACAGCTCCGCAGCCTCTGCAGGCGTCGTGCAACCCCACAGCCGCCGGCGAGTGGCCATCGCTTTCGAGGGGCAAGTGGCGGTTTATGGGGCGTCCAAAGATGGAAGTTCGTTCGCTCCTCCCTTCTTTCCTCCTCCATCGCCTCGTTGATTGATTGATTGATTGACTGGTGATTTCGGCGCGTCAACTGCTAAGCTTATTAGTCCCATAAATGTCCTGCATGTTTCCATCGCGGGACGACACGGAGTAGTATATTTTTGAAGAAAAACGTGCTTAGTCACGTTCAGAAAACTGCTGTGTAATTAAACACGCAAATGCACATATAGTAATGTTCTCTAAACATATCTTAATATTTACTAAATATATTGCAGTAAAATTTACAAAAACGGATTGTTGCATTTCATTAATTTCTAAAAGCCGAGTGAGCCTGAATAATAATAAACATGAAAAGGAAGGGGAAATATTTTCATTCCAATCCTACAACCAGGTAATTTTGCAGATGGTTCCTCAGCGGTTACCAAACTCACGGTCCCGTGGACTCATACTTCCTTAACCTCGATAACCTGTCAGACCCTCACAAAGCAGAACGGTTGCAGACGCTAGCTGCCGACGTTGGGCTACCGACGGTATTCTTACAATTACTTGAGTACACAAAACATAATTATTTAAATCAGTAAAATATTAAACACGCATTTATGTGGCGTATATGTAGATATATGTAGCGTTATATAGCTTCATATAGCGTTGAGTTCTCACACAGTTATCATGGGCTCTATAACCATATAAATTCCTCAAAATTCTGAGAACGCGTTCACTAGGCAGTGTTTAGTAAGCGTGACGACATTAAATGTACTCTTAGATAACACCGAATGATTTTATCTTGGAAACAAGTATAGTACCATTTGCAATATTCGTCGTTCATTCACTTTCGATTTTGCATTTGTATGATTTACTAAACGAAACTAAATCATGTTTAGTGAATTTTACCACACGAATAATTGGATTTACTATATGATCGCTTACTAAACATGTTTAGTATATTGTACTACACATTTCTCTCAGTCTTTTGTTTTATCACCCGGACCGTCTTCTGCCCCTCTTTATTCACAACCATGTAAGTCTTACTTTTTCACCCTCGTTCTTTAGTTCTCGTATTCAATCTCTTTCTGTCGTCCTATTCTTTGTTCCATCACTCTTTTTTCTGCGTTGCGTCACCTCTTTATTCATCTGTTTTCTTTCTCGTTCTTACCACCTTATAGTATAAGAATTATAATAATATAATAGTATAATACTTTTCTCTCCTTCTGCTTTTTCTTTCTCCTCTGCTCTTTTCCCCGTGTTCTTTCTCCCCCTGCTCTCATTTTGCCCTTGCTCTGTTTTACACAGCTCTCTTTTCCCTTTGCTCTCCCCCCCTGCTCTTTTCCTTTTACTTTCATTCCCAAATTTATTTTTCCTTCTCTCCTTTCTCTGCTATTTCCCGTACTCTCTTTTTTTAGATTTCTCTTTTGCCCTTATCTCTTTTTCCCCTGCCATAATATCCCCCATCTCTCTTCCTCCGTCTTCTTCGCCTCACTCTCTCCGCAACTCTTCGTCTTTCACCACTTTTTCGTTTTCTCTCACTGCAAGCGGAAAATGCTTCGTGCCGTTATTTTGAGGTCACTTGTTTGACGGAAATATGGATGCGCCCGCGTCTGCGAAATAGAGCTCTACGTCATAAAAAAGACGACGAACTACCTGATGGAATATCAACACGGGGCGCCCAAGTAAACACAAAAATACGCAGGCAGTTACGTGTATCGAACGAAGCCATCGGGAACGGAAAAGAATGAAATGTCACTCTTGCGAGTATAGACGGCACGTTTTATGTAGAAAACCGATTCTAAGAAAATTGAAGCAATCAATCCCTTTCTGATAAAAGACTGAACGTTTAACTTAACATGATAAGAATAATAGTTACGTATTTATTGGTATCGATCAATTAAAATGTTATTAGTGTTAGAAAGAGAACTTAAACAGTGGTAAAAGAAGTAAAACATAATAAGCATTACATACATACTTTTTATTCATTAACCTATCCAATAATACTCTACAAATATGAACGGATATTATATGATAGGAAATTTGTGTCATTTTCAACATTTCTGAGAAATACACAAATTTTAGTTCGTGGAACCAAACATAGTTTGTATGTATATTAAACGACTCAAGAGAGCGACTGAACCTACCGCCAAACAGAATTGTCATAATTTTCCTTTCTTTATTTAGAACCATATTTGGGGATAGTTACTCATACAGAATATATTGGGAATCTTTTGTAGGAAAGGAACTAAGCGTCATTTTTATTGTCAGAGAAATATACGCTGCTCACAAAATGAAACAAATCAAATGACTTAACAAAATAAGATAATATATTTGATTCAGCGAATGTCTGTAGGGAAATGTTCGTGAATAACGACAATTCGAGTCAATAAAGTTGTGAACAAAATTCGATTCGTGTAACTCACAG